CACGGCGATGTAACAGTCAGCCAAAGCCGAATAAGGAATGGAATCTGCTGCTACCTTAGCCTTATTCATCAACAGAAATTCCTATGGATCATCACATCAATCGTCGGTAGAAAAATTGACAAGCGAACAAAACTTTCGACGAAATGGATGACTTGATGTCCGTCGTCATGGATTGGATAGCCTCCAAGAATCGAAATCTCTTCGCCTGTGGAATCCGACTGCATAGCAAATGGGAAGTAGTTCTTGACGTGTATGGTGGATATGTTCCAGAGTAGTTATTTGAAAATATTTTTGCTAAAGACTTCTAGAGTTTTTTTGGTAAAATTTTCGAATAAATCCGCTATAGTTTTGCAACAACCTAATGGCTGTCATAAATTGTCAGGTAAGACTTTGCCGTTTAAACATTAGAACTAGCACACTGCGCCACAGAACATCTCAGAACCGCCAATTGTGTCGTTCATCGGTAGCGAAGAAAGCAAAAAAATTGGCAGAATCTACGAAATACAAGGTTTCAGAAAAATAGTGAAAATGGAAGGGGGGGGGGTTGAACGAGTTCACCATGAGAAAATGGCATGGGATTGATGTTCGGGTGTACTTTTAGTCGCCATTGCCTCGAAAGCTGGCTACAGTAAGCCAAGAACGTCAGTGGTTGCTTTCTACCAAGGGCCATGCGTTGTTGATTTTTTTTCTGAAATAGTTGCTTCATTTCAACATATTTTTGTTATATAGTTAATGGTGAGGTCGCTATAGCGCACGAATGCTCTTTCGGTGGGCATAGACGCCGTCAAGGCCGCTCTTTCAGCTGCTAATGTGCCCTTCTCAGCTGTTCTCGGCCGGCTTACGACCACCGCCCTATATGGCCTTCATGAAAACTACAGTTTCGCCTAATTGAAACAGGAACTGTTCTCATCATTAATTGTGAGGTTTGATGTATAGAGCGTCACGTCACTGTTAATCCTAATTTCAGCAGTAGATATAAGTTACAACTATGATGGTCGAGCCTGTTTTACCACAAGTGAACTCATGAATTTATCATACAGTCTTGCCCTATTCTGCCCTCTACGCCGCAAGAAGTGCTGTGAAAGCTACGTCCTGGATGTGGCCTCCCAGGGCATGTGGTGTGGCAGTAAAAAGCAGTTGTACGATTAATAATTGTGGAAATATAACGCCGTATGTCAGATTAGCCAGAACATGGATGGGAGCTTTTGAAAAAGGGGTCGCTATAGATATGGGAAGGCAACAACAGACCGTCTATTTTGGAGGAAACTGTGCATGTAATTTAAACCGTCATTGATTTGACAAGCTTCAGCAGCTTTACTTTTCAAAGAATGCATAGCATGGTTTGTCACTTCAATCATATAAAGACAAAATCCACGATCTCCTTCACTGAGATTTCTCGGTCACTGAAGATTCTTTAGCCGGTCAGCGATGAGGCTACTGAGGGCTCCACCAGCCCTGAGTAGCCTCATCGGTGGATAGGGGTGTATATCGTCGGCCAAAAGTCACGGTATTTGCCCAGAGACGCGTGTGGGTTCAAGTGACGGACCTACTGTTTATCTGTACCGGTCGATACATTCTGTTTTCCACAGATGTATCCAGGCATACAAGAGTGGAGAGCCTGCGGGTGCGATTTGTATCCTGCCCAGCCAAAGGCTTGCATTCTAGAGACTGGGAAGTATCTGGGAGGCGATTTGGGGCCTCTTCCAAAGCCCCATTTTTACTTCGAGATAGCCTGACTAGCACCTGAAACAACCCAGCCCCCGCGTTAGAGCGTGGCAACCTACTCGTTTTGTACCCATACGCCAATAACAGTGATATAGGTAGGCCTTATCCCCTGCATCTGAGAGTGCACTAATTACTGCAGTGTTGGGTGGGACCACTCGGAAGAACCTGCTACCACCTCAGTGCTAAACACTCTGCCCAAAAGGAGAAGGGAAACGTTAGCGATCTCTATTTTCCACGCAACCTTCCATCGTGAGAGATTATAGAAGATCTGATGATGGAAGCTAGGAAGATCAATCTTCCTAGCTTGCCTCATCAAATCGTCATCGGACTGACCGAGACGGGAATACAGCGCCCGCCCCACGTCGTATTCAAGACTAGCGAAGAAGTGTTCATGCGACAGCAGAGGTGTCGGCGGCGTAGGGGTCCTCGTTAGTACGCACTTCGCCATGAACAGCGATTACGAAAGCCCGACAACCCGGATCGGATGCTTACGCTTTAGAAGACGTGGACAGACCTCAAGTATAATAATCTTCGTTGCCTACGCACCAGCATCATGTTACGAAGGAGAGCAGCTGACCTGGAAAGCTTTCAGCGAGGACCATCATTTCTTCAAGGGCATCGTCGGTGATTTCAACGCCAAGGTTGATCTCACGAGAACGGCTCAGGAGCTACATATCGGAACTCACGGAACGGAATGGAATTAGTACGGCGAAAAACTGCGCAACTTTATCATGACGACTCATTTCATCATGACAATTCATGATTATTTGCAGTCTCGGAAGCCCTCTCATTTGCAATGGATAGGGGGTCATCTCGCAGACAGATTCATAATGAAAAAGAACACATCATCCTCAGTCGATTGCTTTACTAGACTGAAGTCTCTGTTGTTCCGAAATTCTAAACGGGCTCGTAGCATTATCGCTTCCGCGCTAGGATATGCCAGCGTTGAATCGCGCGAGCGAGGCAATTACGAGGTAAAGCCAAACTTGCGAAGCTATGCAGGAAGTGTTTAAGGAAGATCTGAGAGACAAAAGCAGCTGTTCTGACCTAGGTCGGGAAGAGCAATCGCGACAGCAGTTGGAGCTTTGCCACTGACAAAACACAAAAGTCTTCCCTCCGTGTCGGAGCAGTCAATGCATTCAAAGAGCAATAGAAAAAGTCATCTACGACACCTACTCGGATCTCTCCGACAGCCACGTTAACATGCCTGTCCACCCAAGGATACGTAGTTCCTTCGATTCTCCCTTGCAAAATTTAACTATCATCACTTCGATGAGGATTTGTACGACGTCTTATCCGAATAGGATTGAGTCAAAACATCTGAAGAGGCCTCCACCATTTTCTTACTAGGTCTTCGCGTTGAACACAAAGTGGCGGTGTTGTGAGCAATAGACAAGATTGTGTTGCTATAATAAGGTAGAGAGATGCGATAATGGCAACTATCACCCAATCTGCCCGCTTTCTATAATCCATGGAATTTTCACCAGAATGATGTTTTCAAGATCAGCTGGATACAAATGAAAGACAGCTATGCGTGTAAGCACTGTTTGGAAAGAGTTCAGTAGCCCTCACCCAACCGGCATCACCCATCTCTCGCAAAACTCTTCGAGTTCGACGCAAACTGCCAAATTTAACAGCGCTTTTGAAGCGATCGGCTTGAGATTGGACAACACGAAGACTATACACACGAGAAACGCAATGGTACTTGGCCCTGTCGAACATCTCCGAATACCCTGGCTACCTGAATCTAGGTCGAGAAGTCAACGATGAACGATATAGCTCCGTAACCAAGGGAAACGAGGGGTCATGGTATTCAACAACATTGTGGTAGTAGTTAAGAAGACACAACATTCTGCTCCGCCGTCGTCTTTCCGTCGCTGCGGTCCTCCCTGCCTTGAAATATGTCACAGAGCTTCTGTTGCCCTCTAGGCAAGTGGAATGTGCTTATAGCCAGCGTCATTCAGCATTATGTGATAAGGACGGTGCTCAGAAATTTCCTCTAGATGCTTAGATGCAGTGGCACAGGAAAAGAAGGAATTTCAAAACCGCCTTGAAAGAAGATCGAGAACAATGGTGTCCGCTCCAAGAAGTATCCGAAGGTCGATTTATTCGTGCGATTTGCAGTATTGGACCTGAGTGGTCCGTAGATGATCTGTTAGGGCGTCGAACACCAGAACGGCCATCAGCGCGTGTTCAGACTTCTTCACGAAATCTCCGAATGGAAGTGTTACGCCTAGTGTCCCTCGAGCAAGGAAGCGATATACTCGTCCATTCTGAGTCTCAAAACACCCCCACAAAACAACAGAAACAGCAGAATCAACGTGTGATCTCTACTGATCTATCGATTGCGCTGGAAACCGCGCAATCGATAAATCAGTAGAGATCACACGTTGATCGTGTCGCAGGACATCTTCAGTGTAGAAGACGCTAAACTAATTAAACCATGAGAAACACATTAGCATAGACAAGGTAAGTAGATACTTATTAGTAAACAATGCTCTCGTGTTCCCTTCTATAGCCGTGTCTGTGACGCTGACTGGATCTCTTCCGGCAATGTGCAGGGTGCTTTATTATGCTTCTCCGAGCTGCAGTACGTCGCACTGTCTTATTTCATTTCGACAATGCTCTGTGTTGTGCCGGTTATCTAGACATAGTTTGCAACGGGCTCACTTCATTCGGTATTTTACGCTGACATATGTAGGACAGCTGTCTGAATAGTGTCTTCCTTTTGCGAGGCAGTAGGCAGTCCAAACCAAGTACTGTTCCTGGAGTCTCATTTGATTGTCCTCGCTTATCTTTAGTTCTGGTACACTTCGGTTTTTCATCAAGAACTCTCTAATTTCCGTGAGGCGTGTTTCCAATTCCAGTTTCTTCTGATGTCCGGGGGATCTTTGTTGATCTGTGTTGTCATCGTCAGACAAATAGGAAGGAGTGTTGATGGAGTTGTCGTGGCTCTCGGGTTCTCCATAATCGTAGTCCAAATCGAGAAGGTCTTCTTCCGGTTCCTCGGTGTTCACTTCCTGGGTTTCGATCTCTGCTGTGCGTGCTCTGAATGCTTCTTCGTATGCTCTAGATGTTCTATATGCTTTTGCTCCTCTTGATCAGAGTTGGTTCTTGTAGCGAAGTTTTTCATTTTTTCGAATTTTTCACTAAGCTTTTTCATGCTCTCTTTTTGATTGTCCAATTCCGTTTGTAGTTCCATGTGCTTGACATGGATGTCTCTTTCCGAGTCCTTTATCATTTCTTTTATCTGATCGAAGGTAGTAGTGTGATTTTCATATTCTTCTTGGCGCTTTGCCTCTTCGATTTCGTTCTGCACTTGACGTCTGAATTGGTCTAAGAATTCCAGAACTCTTTTCGAATAAAATCGGCGGTGTGGCTTGGTTCCAATAGAACACCCTGCTCATCTTCTCCAAAAGTTCTTTCGAGATAACAGTATTGCTCAGACAAGATAAGAAGCCGTACACCTCGTAAGCCATGGACAACTTTACGGATGTACTTCGAATTCTTTCAGCATCATGGTCCACTTCGAGACATTCTTTCCAGGTGGCTTTTGCAGAGCGTTGCTTCCCAATTGGCAAAAAAATTGGGTCTTCTTCCTCGAATTTTGGTAAATTCGTCATTAAGGCGACTATTCCTGACAGTATTAATTCACGAAGCGTCGCGAAGCCACGTATTCCGTGTTGAACATCTTCCTTTTCTAGGAACTCCGATACTGTCTCTATGCATACTCGCTTATAACGAATTTCATCGATAAGTTTGCGTTCTTCAGCTTGATGTTCCTTCGAGAAATCATAATCGCTCCTTGAAGACATTGCTCTGAAATGGAAATGCTTCAATTGGAAGGCGTTAACTGGATGATGCTCACTTTGTGTTAACATGTTTTTGTACATTTTCTCAAATAATATGTGATTGAAAGTGACGGTAAATGTGATACAAAGTGATAATTTCCTGGATGAGCTTCTCTTATCCCTCCGGCAAACAGCACCAATTTTGGAAACCATGCACTTATAAAGTTTTCGGTTTTTATGCACTGATGCGTAGTACGGAGTTGGTTTGATGTCTCGCTACTTTATGATTGAAGTCTGTATTTCACAGGCGACTGGTAGAACAGTCGACGTCGATTTCGCCGTTTTCAAGCCAGGTAGTGTTGGCCACATTCTACTCGGACGAGTAGTCAAGTGATGAGTGTTAGCCTGGATTTGATAATTGCTTTCCGTGTGTTTGTTACTTCTTTTTCGATTTGGATACTGCTTATTTGATGACTGAGGTTCTGCTTGACGCACCTCGTCCGTCGCCATTCCATTTTGCTGTAGTTTCTCCCCATTATCTGGTATTTCCAAAGGTATAAGTTGGTTTATTGGACGTCGAACTGTCCTGTAGTTGCAGCGAACCTCCATCTCTCTTAGTGCTCCATCACTGCGGAATTAATTTGGAGATACGTGCTAGCTTNCAGGTATTAGTTTCTCCATACTTTTTGTGCTTGTAGACTTGTTTCTGTGCGTATTTTTTCAGCCGTGGGTAGGTAAGGCGGATCTGTGATGTCATGCTCTGAACCATCGTATGAGGGAGTGTTACATTCATCTTGTTCTGTATGAAGTGGATAGGTCGCAAGGGCGTAATGCTGTCATTGAAGTCACTTCCTTGGTATGTTAGAGGTCTACTATCCTTCAATTTCGACCAAAGAGGTACACAGTTGCTCTAATGATTGTATGCGCCTTCCTATTCAGAGCTTCTTTCACTGTTTTTATGAGACCCCGCTCAGTAGCTTGTGATAATGCACCAACAATTATTCTGGGGAGTTAAATTTTGAACGAGGATGACGAAATATCCCGCAACATGAGCAATCAGATGATCGATCATAAAAACCGCCTTTCCGGTGTTATGTGCTTCCACTCGATCATCTGATTGCTCATGTTGCGGGATATTTCGTCATCCTCGTTCAAAATTTGACTCCCCAGAATAAATGTTGGTGCATTATCACAAGCTACTGAGCGGGGTCTACCTCGACGAGCTACGAATCGACGGGGAGCGTTAAGAAAATTTTCTGTAGTTCTATCTGTTACAACTTCTAGATGTATAAGCCGTGTAACGCAGCATGTGAATATGCACCCATACACTTCATTACCACGGAAACTGTGATCGAGACGAAGTAATCTAATCCTATATTTTTGAACGGCCATGACTTTGTTACTCGTTTTTCAGGTAGATCTGTCATTTTCGGATGTTTGTACGGTAGATTGTCTACTTTTGACAAGGTACACATGAGTATACATCTTTTCACTTGCTCCCGAAGTTTCGGTATCCAGTACTTTTGTCGTACTTTTACAATAGTGTGCCTGGTATTCTTATGATACCTCCCGTGCGCTTCCTGCACTATAAGGCGGGCCATTCTGTGTTGGGCATGAATGGATTCCTCGCCATGCTTGCTAAATCCGACTTATTGAGTCGACTCGATAGTCGAGATAGTCGAGTCGGAGATAGTCGAGTCGATATGCTCTCTGCAAGTGGTCTTAGTCTTCCTTTAAGTTGAGAGTCTTGAGTACATCCTTTCTGTAGTGTAGACGTACTGCTCGATGGTTTCTTATAAGCACGACGTGGGCATCTTTGATTTCTGAAGCTGTTAAGCACCGTCTTCCAGTGGGCTCATTGCTTCCACGTAGGATACGGTGTAGTTTGCTTCGGACTGGTTCTCGTATTTGAAAACTGATACTCTTCAGAAACCGAACAACGTAGGCTAGGATTCTCAGAACTTACGATTTACTGTTGTACCTGGATAAGTCCAGAATATCCACAACTTGAACCTCATCTATTTTCGTGGTGTTTATTTGTACAGATGGTGTGAGGTCTTCTTCTTCATCTTTTTCTTGTTCTGAATCATCAGGGAGACAGAATAAGATGGATATAAATCTGTCTCGTAGGGTGCTTCGTGGATATCCGCTCCATCAAATATGTGATCGGAACTTCTGAACAGATGTTCCTCATGTTCCAATATCCGCTGGATTCCACCTTGTGTCAAGGTAGCCGAATTTTACTTCAACTCCCGCTCTAGAAAGAGCCTGTATGATCTTCGAACTTCTTTTGTTAGATTCGTGACCTATGGTCCTGTTTTCTCTCGGTTCGGGTTGCTTCGGAGCCAAGTCAACGCTATCTCCGAATCCGTTAGGAACGCGATCTTCGAGATGTTCAGTGAAGATTTGATGCTCAGAAACACATTTAATGTTAAGCGTGCGCCGATTGCTATGGCGTTTGATTCCATTTTAGGAAGTGTAGCTGGATGTTGCATGTTTGACACCTTTGATTTTGCCAAAGAAAACAAGAAGTTTTCTCCGTAGTTAGATAGGTGCATGCTGTCATTACAATCGCGCTGGCATCAGGATATGTGACCAATGTATACGATCTTACACCATCCTGTGTAACCCTCCTTTGCGAACTCGGATATGTCTTGCACGATGCAATCCTACTATTCTTTATGCTTTTTGCTTAGCGGTTGGTCCCAGTCATATTGATGTTTCCATAGAAACTGTTGAAAATGCTTCGCTTTGACCAAAAGTGGGATGAACGAACCAAACGGATCGTTCACGGACGCAATCTGCTGGGCAATCGTGCGTTTGTTAACGACTTCTTCACGTGGTACATTTACGCACAACGAGAATTTATCTGTGACTGAGTCCCATGGTATCCCAAGCTTCTTGGGTGCAGTATTTGAAGATCGATCAGGAGCTGATATAGCTCTCATGATGTCGGAGTTGTTGCTTTGAAATGCTCTCAGGTTCATTTTGAGGTCGTTGAAAATCGACTTCAAACATCTGTATTTGTGTATGCCTTGCGCTGCTGTATCTGCACTAATGACTAGACTATCCAAGTAGAGATTGGATCCGATTACTGCTGCTAGTTCTTTGTCCGCCACGGACATGTATTCTTTAGGCATGTATCGATGCATTGAATCTCTTGCGGTTACTGCACCGAAAGTCCTGAGTTTCATGGTGACTATCCCTGTTCCCCTTTCTAGATAACTATGGGATGCTAACTGATCTCCAATTACTTCAAGCTTTACAAGCAAGTTTGTGGTTCTTGAGATTATTTCTTCTGCATTATTGATGTATTCAGAAATTTTACTTTCTTCGTCATCGTTCAGGGGATCTTTTAAATTATCAGCTGCATCAGTTAAGGCAAAAAGAGCCTTTTCGAATGTTTTCGAAGCGTTTTGAGTTCTATCTTAGCAGTTTGAACTTCAGTTAAACTGACTCCGTTTGCTTTCTCTTCTAGGTTTACTGTATCTGCCCGAGCTGAGTGCTAAGATATTCTTTTTGCAAAGTACAATAAAATGCACTACGAGGAAAATGCTTCAAATTTAGTGCTTCTAAAAAATAGGCAGAAAGCAAAAGGAAAACTCGAAAGAAACTCAGGCTACTTTAGTGCTCTCTTATACTGCAACTATTGAAAAACTTATATTCCGTGAAGTCGCTCTTGCTTTCCTGATGCTCCTCGTTTCGACCAGTCCAGTTGATGCTTCTTTCCTGGTGAGGTTGTTTTTCAGTTTTCGCCAATCCAGTTGATGTTCTTCTTCAGCTCAAAAAATTTGGCCGATGCACCACTTGTCGTATCACACGATCAATTTCGAACCTCAAACTTGGGTAATTTAACTGTATTATGCTAACAAAAACAGTACAACAATAATGAGATCAAGGCAAGGATAATTAAAGCTTATTGAACATAAGAGAAGTTGAAACAAAATACGAGTTGGGCACAACAGTCAAAGGTGGTTAAATGATAAAATGCTCATAAGGATCAAAATATGAATAAATCTAATGCTAAAAATCTAATTATCAGAGTATGGTCAATCTAAATATAAATGCTAGAGAAGATAAGATGCTTCTGCGGTAAAGGATTAAACAGTGTTCACTATAATGCTTTAGAACAAAGAGAAAGAAAGATAGAGTGTTCTAGAAATATAGAAAGAAGAACAAAATGCTCTCATGGGTTAGGCAGCTGTGTAGAATGCTCTGGATACTCTGCCACGTACTGGCGTTCACCATACGTGCGCGGTTTCCCGCGCATTTGATAGATCAGTAGAGATCACACATTGATCGTGTCGCAGGACATCTTCAGTGTAGAAATCACTGAACTAATTGAACCATGAGAAACACATCAGCATCAACAAGGTAAATAAATACTTACTAGTAAACAATGCTCTCATGCTCCCTTCTGTAGTCACGTCTATGACATGAAGTAAGGATCTAGTCCGGATATAGTATACTGTCTGAAAATTAGTGTGCTATTGAATGTGGAGACTACCAAGTTGTTGTGAAACATGGATTTCTTATACTTTCAGAGCAATATGATTGCTGATAGCTCGCATGGACGGGGAAGTTAAGGCCTCTGACTTGCGGCCTAATGAGTGTTTCATAAGAGTTTCTGGCAGTTGACGATCAAGAGCAATGGATGTCGAGCGAAAAAATTTCGGCGTTTGAAGGGAAGGAGTGATAAATACGTCGATGATGCGCTGCATCTTTTTTATGAAATGAAGGTATTGAGGGGTCGGATACGCTGCGCGCGAGGAAGACTAGGAGGCAACGATAAGGCAACTCACTCGGCATCTAAACACATTAATCGAATCCGTAGCCACTTATACAGTCTTTTCATCGATGACTTTTTTGTCACACATGTGGTCAGCTCATAGTTTTTTGAAAGCTCACCTCACTGCTAGGTTCCACACGTAATCATTTGACCCAATTTAGACATTGTATTTTTCGATATGTTCACTTCAGTAGTTGCTTCCAATTTCTTTCTTTTTTCTCATTTTCCATGTCGTTCTTGATAATTGAATGATTTTCGACCCATGTCTTTTAATGTCCTTCATATGCGAAACTGGTTTTCCTGGCACATCTGTTTGAGAAGCATGACAGTTTCCAATAAAAAATCCAACATGTTCCATCTAGTTGACGGAAAAGAGAGCTAATTCAGTTTAAACATAGTAAGGGCTTAGATGTGAGGTTCGAATCTGAGTTGAATCCAATGTAGAATGAAGATTAATATACTGTATAAATTCATACTTTTCTGTCTCACTGGTTTCCATAGTCATAGAAATCAGTAGAGACGTACGTTAAAATGTTGGAGGCTTCTTCACAACAAGTTTTAAGCAATTAAGCTGGCAACTGAGTAATTACTATGTATTTTTTGGTAATGTGATAAAAATTTTTTACAAAAAGGATCGTTCTTTCGATTACATATTGACCGTAAACTACACAGATTTCTAGTCTATGAATATGATCCTTTTCGATAGGCGGGTAATTACCTATCACGGTGAATGTTGTAGTACTTGGAGAAATACGATGTTGAAGTATTGGGAAAAATACGTAGTCACTTACGATTAGTTGCTCACTTAATGATTTTTTCGCGGGCGAAATTTATTTGCCACGTGGCAAGACATAGTAGGCAGGGTTATAGGGAACAAACAGTAAATTCTTGTAGATGTGAAACTGTTCACAAATAACATCATTGTGGCTTGGTCATTATCAGTGGAATGTTTAAGTGAAGGGTGATATTTGACTATGGTGTTGACCATGGTTGTTTTGACCATGGTTTGGTGCTACGCAGTAGAGTTTTTTGCTTCCCCACCTTGAAAGCGCAATTCACGCTAATTTTAGGGTATCTTGTAGTATCTTGTTTAAGACAAGTGGTGGGAGTAATAGTCCAGAATAGTGCAAAAATGGCGAAGAAAACGTGAAAATCGGCCCGTTTAGCGAAATACATGGCTTTGAGAAAGGAGTAAAGTTAGGGGACAGACAAGAATGTGACATATGGAGAGGACACATGGACGAGCTTTCCGAATGTGTGCTTCATTGCATATAGCTGGCCTCAGTAAGCTGCCTGCGTGCAAGGTGTAGGTCCCAGTGCGAATGGTGCGGCCTCTTCAACCTCTACAACGCATTGACAACTTGTCTCCTTGACGTGTGTGCAGCTGCTAAGCCGGTTTCAGAGCCCTTATTACGACCTATCTCGACCATTTTTTGATTCGATAGCGTCGCTTGTGCTTACTTAGGGGAGAGATCTCAGAAATCATTTCTAACGTTAACTGTGCCAGAGAAAGACTTGGCATATGGGTCGATTCGATTCAACGACATCCTTATAATTCATTATATTCAGGGATGGTTGGCGATCTGCTCGTCGGATGCGAAACACATCACTCATATTCGCTGTGCCATTCGCCACTTCGGTGTGCTTCGATTGACATGTTCTCATTGTGGTCACTCAGTATGTTTTTTCGGTGCTTCGTTTTCACTTGAAAGCAATTTAGTAAGTAATGAATCCATTTCTCTGGAATGGGGATTGTAGGCACCGTTTCCAAAGTTGAGCAACCGATCGGTGTTGGTGGGATTGGCGTGACTTGTTGGATTTTAGACTTAGTTGGAAGTTCATGGGTCTAAGTTGCAACTAATCAAGAGCTAATCTCCGTCATGAGCGATTAGATAAAACTCTGGGGTTTCAAATCGCTCTCAGGCCTTCGACAGCGACNACCTGCAGCTTCATGGCGGACTTTTTCTATAAAGCGCTTATGATTCAACCTCCATGTTCGCCTTTCTTGAAACCTGGGCACTTGTACCATTTTTAGTCAATACTCCTGTGCCAAGCAGCTTTTTTAATGGCGGCACATTCATTCGCCTGACGTTTCTACCAATTCATCGTTATCGGAAGCCTGAAAGCGTTTTGGAATCTTAGAGTGTTACCTACCGCGCTTGACGAAGACCAGCTCTTGATTAGATGCAACTCAGACCGATGAATTGCTGGCTAAGTTTAAAATCCAAAAAGTCACGTCAATTCCACCAACACCGATCAGTTGCTCAACTTAAGAGACCATAGAGCAATTGAGACAGCCCGGTCAACCACGACCCACTAAAGGTATCGTGACGCGTTACGTAACAATCTCCGCTATCAAAGCTCTCACAGTGGGATGTCAGGCAAGAGTTCACCCAGTTATGTTGCTGCACTAATGTCACATTGGTCACTCGTCGTGTGTGACGATGTTCTCATTCTTCTCTCTATCGTGATTTTTGTCGTCCCCTGTTCATTCTTTTTTGATATTCATTTTCAATATTAGTATCTCATTATTTTTAGTAATACTGCTCTCATAATTTTTACTTTCCTTCCCTTATCCTCTGATCCTTTGCCTTTCCTGGGGTTAACTTTTTTCTCTCCTGTATTCTGTGACAACTTTTCGCCTGTATCGATTCTTGATGGCTCGTGGATCACAGAGTAAGACGGCGGATAGGGACTGGGAGATCTCCCTCTCTGCGCCTCTATGTTGTTGGAACAGTTCGCCTCTTCTGCCGAACGAATCGAAAAGGGCCTGACATCGTCCCTTGCTAAATTAACTGATGGCATTGAGGAGGTTACCCGACGTCAGAGCGAAATCATATCTCGCCTTGATGCATTGGAGGAGCGTGTGACCAGCCTGCAGAGTTCGAGCCCAATGGACCAAAACCATCTTTACTTCACCCTGGTCAAAGTGAAGACCGATAGCGAGAAAACCGAAGGTAAACTGAGGCGCATAACCTGGGTAGCTTTCATCCGTTTGTTGATATATCATGGTGTTGGTCTTCTGGGGACCTGGGTATCGGGAGTCCTGGTAGGCAGAGTTCTCTCTTCTATCGCTTCATTCAGGGTCACAATTTCAGCCAAACAGTCTCGCACCCTACCCGTGGCCGCAATACTCTGGACTTACTGGTTAGTTCTTACGAACAATCCCTCCCTCATAACTAGCCCCCCGGTTCAGGCTCCTTTCTCTACCTCCGATCATTCTATGATAACTTTCTCATTAGAAGGTAATACAATTGAGGCCGTTCGGACGCCGAGAATAGATTTTGCTAGAGGTGACTATAAGACTATACAGTAGCGCTCAAAAGTCTCCGGTGAAAGGCTTTGACGCTTTTTTGTTCATGATTTTTTTCTTAGTGGACCAAATCGCGCGAAATTAGGATATGT